GATTTTTCCTTCATGTAATTGTTTGTCTATTACATGTAACTATCACTTAGCTATTACAGAAAAAGCTGTAAAACATATTTTGCAAAACCATCCAGCAGGCCAGATTTTAGTCTTTGCTGGGCTGATTTTGGCCCCCTGGTCTTATGTTTGACATCCCTGTTGTAGGCTGGAAACTGCAAGACATTAAAAACACAAAAGCATTCAATGCAGGAGACGCTTGTACCCAGAAATCACTTGACAGCACTGATGCTAAAGGACTCCCAGTGTAAATTTCTCTGGCTCTGACAAAACATCAGTCCCTGTGCTTGTTAGAGGGTAGTCAGTGAGGGACAACGAGGGTGTTCATTACATGAGCTACCATTTGGTTAGTTACACGGCCACAACATGGGATCATTATCAAAATGTATCATGCTAACATTTTTATTGGACATTAGAAGTAGAATAAAGGCTGGTGGGAAAGCTGTAAATATTTAGATTAAAGTGATTAAGGGTTAATGCTAAGTTAGAGTGATTGCAGTCATCATCAAGATTGAATATCTGAAAATATCCATCTCAGTGTTCTTAAGATCATGCATTAAGAAAGGCCTACAAAGAGTGCAATAAAGTCATTCTTTAGTGATTTCCACTCACCAAAGTTCTCAAAACTGCTGCTTCTACTGTTACTTGAAGGTCTTGGTTTTCAAACTAAATGTGTTAAATGTTGTTTCTCAGGGCGAGCATCACCAAGGACCCTTTCTATGACTTGGTGACACTACGCAAAAGAAAGATCATCAGCAACACTTCCTCAAAGGACTGACACAGCACCATCAGTGATCATGGATGAGTTTGACTGATGAATCATGTCTCATTTTAATGACTGCTCACGAAAGATAAAACCAAAATGTCATTGCTCTGTATTTCAAAGAACTGCGCAAATTGGGATGTGATACTTGTAGTGTAAAAAGGAGAAAAGTGAACCGTGGTTTTCACATTACTTCTGCAAAATGAATGCACTGCTGCTCCGACTTCAGGGGCGACAAGTCTGACGGACAAACATCTGCTGCAAAGCTATAACAATCATGAAAGTCTAACCCAGAAGACATACAATGAGAGAGCCATAAAACAACTACAAAGAGACAGAAAATGACCTCAAAGAGACATAACAAAGACACACAAGGAAACTTCAGGGACATAAAACGACTTTAGACACATAAAATGACCACAAAGATTAAACAGCTTCACACAAAAAAACACAGATAGACTTTAGCAAAACATAAAATGACTAGAAAGAGACACAAAACAACTGCAAAGAGACAGAAAACAACTTCAAAAAGAAACAAAATGCTTTTGAAGTGAAACATATTGACTTCACTGAGACACAAAATGCCAACAAAGTATCAAAATATAAATTGATACACGCCTTTTAGACATGCACACTTTTCTGTTAATATGAAAGCATCTGAACCTGTCAGCTTATTGAATAAATGTTCACTGTGATCACTTTGTTGTGAAAGCTGAGATGGCATTTGCTCGGTCAGACCTGGTATCATTTAGGTAACAGATTCAATGCATGCACTAATAAGGTTGGAATTGCATATTGGAATTTACTTCATCTTCAGTTCCTTTTTAAAAAGACTTACAAAAGACCAAAGTCTGGCACCTTTTCACATCTGATGTCAATGTGTCATAAACCAGCATTTGCAGAGACTGGAGGTCTTGTAGGGTCACTGTTTGACTACAGCTAGATTCCCAAATTGGATACATAGAGAAAAACAGGTAGTTGTCAAATCTCAGCACAGAAACTTGAGTTTGGTTTAGGACCACAACTAAATCTACTGATGAAGTGAATTCAGAGATTGAATTTGAAATTAAAAAACTCAATTTCTTTTGAAAGTATCTCCCATCATGGTGTCCTTGTGCGTGCAGCCACTGGCTGAGATAACAGAGAGAGCACAAGTACTGGTTTTCTATAATGTTTGCATGATTGAACTTTAATACTTGCAGGAGGAAAAAAAAACTTTTATTGGAATATAAGAAACAGAAAGATCGACTTAACGCTGGTCTGACTGAGTTTTATGACCACCTAACATCAAAGGACTGAGATGACAGAAGAACGCCACAACTTTTGAAAACTGTCAGAATTCAATTTAGACTTTAGACATTTGTGTGCAGCCAAAAATGATTATAAAAGTAAAATAACATTTTTATTGTACACTGGAAAAAATCGGAAGACATATTCAGAATCAGCACAGGTCTATAAACACTGTAGAGAGCATTTCTTGATTCATTGGTTCCACAGTTTAACTTGGATTAAACCCGGTGAATCCAAGGTCCACTACTGACGATGTGTTCCAAATTTTAAAATGATAAGCTAGATCAGATCCCTAATCCCTAAACCTAATCAAGGAAGGAAAATGGCAGATTAGCCTGGGTAAAAGACTGAAAGTTGAGGCACACAACCATGTGTGCTGCTGGCAAAGTTTCTGGGCTGCCTTTCCTCATAACAGCCATCCATCAAGAGTCTCTCCATCTAAAGCAATGCATTATCAGGGACTGTAACATCTAGTCCTTTTTACTGAATCAGATTAAGTCTAGAAAGGTTTCCCATGAAAACAGCATTGTTGACAGTCCAAACTAATGAGACTCAAGGTCAAGGTTTGACACAGTTATCGGGATCTGAATTAGGTTTGTGGCTTGCAGCTATTTATAGAAGTCTTTCTTTTGCATTAATTACAAACCTGCAGCATCAGACAGCAGCAGGATTCGTCTGTGAGCATCTAAAACGAGAGAATAAATGCAACCCAGATAAAAATGAAAGAATGCTGTCATTTTAACAGAATAATGCAAACTGAAAAGGAAAAAGAACTTTTTTTGTGAACCTAAAGAAATTTTTACAAAACTTAACCCCAGAAATGAAGCAAAAACTCAAATACAATGGCACAGATGTTTGTGTGTACTTGTAAACTCTCAGTCTCCCCGTGGCAGCAGACTATTTGAAGTTACATATATTTATTTGTTCATACTAGAATATTTAAAGTAGATGATTTTACAGACCAATGTAGCAAATAAAATGTACAGGTTATTGTAAATGTGCATCAAAAGGTTAAAAAGCACTCGTACTTGTTTCTTGACCCTGATGTGCTATAGTCACACTTTAGCTTGTGTAAAAATGCATTTAGCACTTTTGTAAACCTGTTCCAGCTGTTTTGTAAATGAAAATATGATTTTTTTTTTTTTTTTTGTTATTGTATATTCAAATGAATTTTAAGTTATAGATCTTTGTACAGCATGTTTTTAGATCATTTTTTTGTATAATTTAATGACTTTATACTTGTGTGGTAATCAAACTACTTTTCGTGTATTAAAGTATATCGTATATTAAAATTGTGCAGTTCTTTTTCCAGTAGATGGCGCTACTTTACCACTCCACACCCTTTCTTTTGATCAGGAAGCTCATGCTGAATTATTAACCCCTACAGTGACTCGCTGAATATGTTAACCAGATTATTACTGTGATGATTACTGTGCGAGGTACGACATCATATCCTCATATGTTATCTTGTTATTTTCGCTCCTGTTATTATCAGATTAACATGATATGTGACGTGTGGAGGCTTTTCCTGTGAAGATGCAGCGTGTCTGATGTTGCGATAGAGTTGTGGTTTCCTGGGAGCAAACATACAAGAGAGAAAAAAAAGAAAATATATCTTCTCACAGCTTTATTCAAACCTACAGCGTATTGGCTCATTTCTTTGTGCCAAAGAAACGTGTTTCTTTATGCAACTTTGCATCATCTAACCTTTGTGTTTAATTGACTTCTCACAGAAAATAATAGCTGAAAAATTAAAACCTATTTCCCCTCAAAAGTATGTGAACCTACACAGCTCAAACTCAAAGGATGAAGTCAAAATAACTCTGTAGTTTTCTTTGTCAATTTCATGAATATTTATCTCACAGTAGCCTGATATGGTTTATGTTTATACCACCT